TCAATGTTTATTCTTGCCATCTCCAGTTTGACCACATCCAGCTTACCAAGGTTCATAGAACTTACATTCCAGGTTCCTATGTAGTCTTTTCTTTGCAGCATCAGACTTTTCTTTCACTTCCACGCATGTCCGCAGCTGAGCATCCTTTCGGCTTGGGCCGAACCACTTCATTAGTTCTGGAGCTACTTGTACTTGTCCTCTGCTCTTCCTCAGTAGCATGTTGGACGCCTTTCGACCTGAGGGGCTCATCTTCCAGCGTCATATCTTTTAGGCTTTTGTTTCTTTTCATGGAGTTTTCTTGGCAAAGATACTGGAGTGTATTCATGAAGGCTTTCATGCCTGGGATCTAATGGTTGTTGTGGGTTTTTCGGGCTCTTTGGCCATATTCTGAAGGTTGTTCTTCCTATTGTTTCACCAGTACTGTGGCCAGGATCTTCAGAGGACAGCACTCTGTGCTCTGGTCTGGACTGGAGTGTGCTCCATACTGGAGTGGCTTGCCAGTTCCTGCTCCAGGTGGATCGTGTTTAGTCAGAACTCTCCACTATGACCTGTCTATTTTGGGTGTTCCTGCATGGCATAGCCCTTAGCTTCTCTGAATTACTCACGCCCCTCCGCAACGACAAGGCAGCAAGCCATAAAGGGGTAGCAATCCATGAAGGGGGCAGCAATCCATGAAGGGGACTACTTTTGTTACAATATTTCAAATAAATTAATATACTTCTGTTTCAGGCATATAATTATTTGAATAATAATTTTCTTCTTCTGTCTTGGGAAACATATAGCAGACCACTTATTTAGCGATATGTGCTCTTTTAAGGAGATAATTTTTATCTGGTGAAAAGTACATAAATTATAACCTTTGAAAGATTCAGGGCACAACAGATTATGTTGCCTCTAATGCAGAGACTATAAATATGCTGTACTGCATGGCTCCCAGAGGATATTTAATTTTACATTAAATTCATCCATATGTAGAATCTAAATGTTTATACACTACTAAATAGACCTGAGATAATCCTCTATTAAGAAACAGAAGAGGTATAATAATGTTGTATTATACCAGTTAACCAAATGTAATATGCCTTCAGCTGATGCACCTTGGCTACACATTCTACAGTCCTGATTTTACTAGAATCAGTAAATTTCTGATATTGCATCCAGCTCTGTTTTTTTAGGGAATACATCATGTGCACTGTGCAATGAAGAAGAAAATCAGAAAAGTGCTGATTGGTTTCCAAAACAATGCAAACACAGGAGCAGGTGATATCTTTCATAGACCACTAAAAATCAAACAAACAACAAACAGTGAGCTTTCAATGACAATTCATCTTTTTCAGGCTGTGTAGGAAGTTCTTGTGGGTCGTTCCAAAAATTATGTTCTTTTTTTTAAAGTCACAAAATCTCGTGACATTGTTGGGGCTAGGTTAGCGTCCTGAGATGGATACAGATGCAGTCTGTGGGTGGAGTGTGTGATTTCAAACTCCTCCTTAGCCAGCACTTTGGAATTTATCAACCAGCTCTTTAAACGGAAGGCCACCAAGCGCTCTGCATCCTCCTCATCTCCCACTTTGCCTTCTTTTTGAAACTCAAAAATTTTCTTATTTGACTAAGGAAAACAACGTAATGGAGAAGCATGGCAAGCCTCCATCAGAATTGGGATTGAAATTTAGTTCAACCACCAGGAACAGCCAATTTTAGCCAAATTAAAACCAAATTAATAGTTTTACCTAATGGAGGCTTTCATCGGCATGCAGTACCGTTTGGCTGGTGTAAAGAGTCCATGATGTTCACGAATGCACATTGTTCTTCAGCTGCTGCCCTGACTGGCCATTCTATGGTGTCTTGAACAGAGAAAATCAGAAAAGGGCCATGCAGGAGCAGGCGATACCTTTATTAGACCACTGAAAAAATCAAACAAATAACAAACACCTAACTGTGCAATGAAGTTTCCATTTGTGTCTAGCAATTTCAGGAACTTTTGGTTTCCTTAAGCCAATTAGCAGATCATTAAAAAAAATCTGGAACAACTATCAGAAGATAATTATAGTTGCTTGAAATAACCGTACTACTGTTTATTGTGTCCTTCCCAACCCCTACTCACAGCAGGCTTGGACCGCTTTGCACACCTGAAAATGCTTCTTCATGAATAATACTTAAATGTTTGTTCTTATGGAGGTACCTGCAAAGAAAATATTATTGTCAGATCTGGCAAATTGTTCTGATGATTGCCTACCCACAATGCTCTGTGATAAATTTAACTTTGTTCCAAATTCTCTGTTTTCCCCTTCCAACCACACAATTAGTAATAAACCAACTATTCCCTTTATAACGTGTTGAGCAAAATCCCAGCATTATGTCTGACAACAAGAAATAGCACAATTCAATTGCATAATTGGTTATGTTCCCTTGGCGCAACTAGTTGTACTGTACTGCAGCCAAAATTGTGATCATGACCTGGGGTTCAATCCCAGGTAGCCGGCTCAAGGTTGACTCAGCCTTCTACCCTTCCGAGGTCAGTAAAATGAGTACCCAGCTCGCTGGGAAGGAGAGGGCAAGGTGTACCCTGCATAATTAACTTGTAAACCACCCAGAGAGTGTGTGAAGCCCTATGGGGTGGTATATAAGCAGCCCGCTTTGCTTTTAGTTGTGCAATATGCCAGCAAAAGTGCTTAGTGAATCCCACTTCCACTTCAGCATTATCATAACTATGCAGGCCTAATCTTGAGCTATGGAATACCTCTGCAGTATAATTTTGCCTATTAACTCAGTTAGTGGGAGTTTACATTATAGGAATTTAAAGAAGAAATTTACCATAAAGCAAAAACACGTATACTGTATCATTATTGATTTAAACCCATTAGCGCTTTAAAATGTTGAATTATTTAAGAGATTAGCTCTTTCCTACATGCTTTCTTTGATTCTTGCTCGCATGGGTACAGTTACTGCAAGGAAGCAGTTGTTCCCTTGTCTTCTAGATCTGTAGTTCTAAGATTGCATGTCATTCCCTTGCTGTTGCTGCTATGTACTGTCAAGCGGCCTCTGACTTACAGTGACTCTAAGAAATGAATGATCCCCAAAGTGTCCAATCAATGCTCACCTCACCTCTTGCAAACTGAAGGCCTTGGTTCCTTCATTGAATTAGTCATTCTCCTGAGAAGAGGGGGAAAATGCCAACTTACCTCCCACACCTCCACCTCAGTCAATCTTTACAGAGTAAATCTGAGGTCCTCCATTTTGGGCAAGAACTCCCCCAAAAGGATCGTGGATTGCAGAAGGCACTCCCTGTAGACAGCTTTCTCAAATTAATCTCTTTCATCTAGTGATGCAATGGTAGATTCCCTAAGTGCAGGTGCTCCTTACAAAAGTCCTTGTAGTCATCCCACCCCCTTCCCTAGTCTCCTCAGACATTTTATATTTTCCTTCTGGCTAGGTATTTAATTCAATATTGTTTTCCACTGAATGTGGTAAAATTTATCACCCAAAGATTGTCACAGTTCTTAACACTTTTCGGTCTTTGGTTGAAATACTGTGTAATTCCAACCATCATTCAATCTAATACTGAAAACAGATTACCTTGTGTTTATTAACTTGGAAACGAAATGGGACCATCTTAAAATTTAAGGCAGTTGTGTCTCCATAGTCAGGAGGACTCCCTACTATATAGTCTAGCTATTTTCACTAAAAGAAAAAGAAATAAAAGTGCAAACATGATCTCAGGGACATGTGAGCTTGAAATAAAACAGAGAGCTACTGAGCTCTGTTTCATCATCTGTTTCATCACTGGATGAAAGAATTTAGAGAGTTAGAGATGTTAGAGATTTAGATGAGTTAGATGTTAGATTTAGATGTTAGAGATTTAGATGAGAATTTAGAGAGTTAGATGTTAGAGATGCAAAATTTCCAGATATATTTAAGTCATAAAGGGAAATGTTTGTTCCCTGGAGGAAAACACAAATTTGTGGGTAAATTGAAATATACATATTTTTATCATAAACTTTTATTGCATTGGCAACTTGAAATGCTTTATTCATGTCACTTTTGCCATCTGAGCAGTAACAGAAAAGTGGGAATCAAACTACATTTAGTAAATAAAGAACAACAGAAGTTCCATTTGGATAGAAACAATATTTCTTTTACTAAACTATCTTTTACTGTCTCCACTAAACAGAAGTTGTAAAGAGAAGGCTAGCAGCTATCTATTAGCAAGGAAGTTTCCCTTGTATGTTCCTTTCATGAAAATAGTAGCACCCACTAGATGCAGATGTGCACTTTGGATATGAGCATTGCATATATTAACAGTATGCACAAAAAGCACCTTCTCTCATTCTAGACTGTCTTACATACAAATATTCATGCTACACAGTTTGTTTCACTTGGAGTGAGTGACAATTAGTCTTTAAAAGTATTGCATTCATTAAAAAGAGAATATATTTTAATGGAGTGTTTCCCTCTACTCCCCCCAGAGTTTCAGTTTTTCTGCTGGAAAAACTGAAAAGATTATCTGTGGAGGGCCAAATTTTTCCCCTTGAAAAACTATTTTTTCCAACAATTTGACTTATAGTTTCACAGATGTCAGCCTGATCACACAAGAAAAAAGATAATGGAGAATATATTCGCGAAGGATTTCACGGCCGGGATCTAATGGTTGTTCTGGGTTTTTCGGGCTCTTTGGCCGTGTTCTGAAGATTGTTTTTCCTGATGTTTCGCCAGTCTCTGTGGCCGACATCTTCAGAGGACAGCATCTTCAGAGGACATCCAGAGCACAGGTTGCTGTCCTCTGAAGATGCCGGCCACAGAGACTGGCGAAACGTCAGGAAAAACAACCTTCAGAACACGGCCAAAGAGCCC